GCCACGCTATAGTAACTCTCCAAGATACTCCATTTAATGGATACAACCACAAACTGTATATCCACTCATCTACTGATAGGCTTCTGGATTACTGCCGCCTTTGGGCTACAGTAAAGAGTGCTGTTGTGAGCATCCACATATAAGTGTTTGAATTCTTTTTGGCAAATACCTCAGAGTGGAATTATTTGCTGACACAGAATTATTGTGTCCATTTACCTTCTTGAAGAACTGTGGAAATGTATTCTACAGTGGCTACACTATCTTAGTCCCACCAACAAGGCATGAAGGTTCTGATTTCTTAACATCTTCACTTGTTAAATTCTGTTGTTAGTCATCCTTATGAGTATGAAATAGTATCTCTCTATGGTTTTTGTTGTTGTTGTCAGTCATGGGGCTTGAACTCAGGGCCTGGGCGCTGTCCCTAAGCTGTTTTGCTCAAGGCTAGTGCTGTACCACTTTGAGCCACAGCTCCACTTTTCTTACTGTGGTTTTGATTTGCATTTTCCTGATAACTAATGACACTGAGCATTCTTGCACACCCCTGATATCCATTTCAGGATTTTGTGCCTCTGGGATTTTTGATACATTATCTATATACCAACCCACAAATAAGTTACAAATCTTCTAAGAAAGAATGTGATGACATTTCCTCATGGCTCCTGTGCCCTAGAGAAAGGGAACCCTCATGAAATGCTTTACAGGGACCTAGTCCTAGCCCACTTCTAAGTCAGAGATTCCACTCTTTGACCCCAGCAGTAATGGTAGCAGGATATCATCTGGGCACAATCAGTCTAGGAGTGAGAGCTCAGAAGAAATCAGTCCCAATCTCATTTCACTGCAAACTATGGTTCATGGGCCCAAACCTGACAACTTTGTCTTATAAAGTTTTATTGTGGATCATGTTTATAACCCTAGTTACTCAGGAGGCTGAGGTCTGAGGACCACAGTTCAAAGACAGCCGGGCAGAAAAGTACCCCCGTGAGACTGTTATCTCTAACCACTGAAACCCAAAAGTGGCACTGTAGCTCAAGTGGTAGAGCTCTAACCTTGAATACAAAGAGGCTCAGGGACAGGACCCAGACCCTGAGTTCAAGCCCCACAACCAACAAAAAAGAAAAAAGGAAAAACAAGGGACACAGCAATACTCATTAGTGTATTGTCTACAGGACATTTTACACCATGACAACAAAGTTGCACAGTCCTCTCAGAGATCATATGGCCTAGGAAAGCTTAAAATATTTACCATCTTTCCTTTTATAGGAAGATTACAAAATCAGAAAGTGCCTGCAAATCAATGAGAGCAGGGAATAACCCTAAACAAAAATGGACAAATACAAATATGCAATGCACAAAACAAATTTTTTTAAATACTCCATAAATATTACGGAGAGGCTAACCTTGCTAAAAATTACTTAAATTATTTGGCTGGGTGCCAGCGGCTCATGCCTGTAATCCTAAACTACTACTTAGGAGGCTGAAATCTGAAAATCATGGTTCGAAGCCAGTCCAGGAAGGAAAGTCCATGAGATATCTCTCTAACCACCAAAAAGCCACAAGTGGAGCTGTAGGTCAAGTGTTAGAATACCAGCCATGTGCAAAAAAAGCTAAGGGACAACTTTCAACTTTCAGGTCCTGAGTTCAAGTCCCAATACTGGGACACACACACACAAAATAACAGCAACAACAACAAAAATTTGATAATATCCAGTCCTGGAAATGTTATGACATAGCCTTTTTTGGAAGGCAATTTAGTGGTATCTGTTTAAAAAAAAAATGTAATGGGCTTGATGTCAATCCAGTTATTCTATTTTTAGGTATCTGCCCTCAAAGAAATACTTGCATTTATGCACGCACGCACACACCATACGACCAAAAAACATTACAAAGCTGTTCACTAAAGCATTCACTATTTGTAACAGAAAAATTGATCAGTAACCTTGATGTCTATTGGTAAGGGAATAGGTTAAACTACAGTATATTCTAATGGTATATGCAAAATGCTTTATGTTTTTGTGTATAATACCAGGAAACGAAACAAGACCTCAGTCATATTGTTCCACAGGGAAAAACAAACTTCAAAGCATATACACAGCTCAGGTAAATAATTCATAGATTTATTTATTTTAGTCCAATACAGAGAAATACACTAGAGGACTGAAGCAAAGGAAATGCTACCCTGGAAACAGAGGTGCAGGACTGCAAGAGGGGAAGATAAGGATGACACCTATCATTATGTATCCCAGATCATGCCTAATTCCCATGAGAGAAAACAAGGAATTCTAAACCAACACCTTCTGCAACACAACCACCCTTGACCTCCCTTTTCTAATGTGATCTCAGGACAGCCACTGTAGATACTCAATAGAGTCAGGGAAGAGAACAGGGCTTAAAAGCCCCAGCTATGCCCTTTTATTAGCCAAACTGCTTCCCTTCTCCAGGATTTAGTCTTCTCACCGGTAAAAGGAAGTGGTTAGACTGGCTGATCTCTAAGTTCTTTCCAGGTCTGATGCCACAATACAGGCCCTGGAAGAGGTTTCTGTACCTCTCTAAGGGAAAAACAAACAAACAAAACCCACAGCTGAGGAAATAAAGTTCAAATCAGAGCCCTCTAAGGAATGTCCGCCCCTGGGAAGATGACATCCCAAGAGCAAAAGCTGTCTCCGCCTCCCTGGGCTCAGTGTCCTCGCCTATTAAAGAGGGGGTGGCCTTCATGATCGATGATGTATCTTCCAGCCTGGACAGTCTAAAATAAGCTCAGGGCAGGAGGGGCAGCAGGAAGCAGAGGTTTGGGGGGAGACTGATGGGAACGGATTGGCTGAGGTTTTCTAATGGAGCCAGAAGGATGAGAGCAAGAGGCTGGGGGGAGGGCCGGATGCAGAGAGCAGCAGTGAAGGCTGTTGGCAGGAGCTAGTCTCCCTTCTCTCCTTTCAAGAGCAGTTTCTTCCTGAAAGATCCCTGGAGGTAGAAGATGGGGCTAATCTCTCCTCATACAAATAACCCTACTCTTCATTTCAGAAATAACCATTCCAGTTGTGCCCTGGAGGTCTCAGGCCTGTTTCAACACCCACAACTCAACTCTGAATACAGTGCAAAAGTACAGTACTTTAAATTGCCTCTCCCCTGGAATTCAATTAATAATCAACAATTTTTAATGTTAATAGTTTGGCTCAAACAAATTCCACTCTAGTTTATCTAAGCTTAAGAATCAGAAAACAGACCTTAGGTGGCTTATATGCCTGATTTACCAATTTGGGCAGTTACTTAGAATAACCAGGAAACTCATAAGTCCCTCTCAAAACAGTCTTTGCCAAGCCCAGAAACTTTTAAAAATCAAAGTTGACTATTCTGTGGGTGATTTGCTAAACTGTAAGAGGAAAAAGTCTGATAAAATATCATTCGTTGCTTTTCCCAACAGCTCCATGGAAGTGAGCCAGGAATTACTTTTACTAATTTACAGATACAAAAACACACAGAGGTAAAGGGACTTGTTCAAGGTCACACCACTGAAAGTGACAAGCAAGTCACCCCAGAAACTTCTTCCCAGAACATCTCATCCATATGAAAGAAGAGAAGCATATCTTTCTTACTTAAAAAAATCTACCTCTACTGCTCACCAGGATACCTTGTACACCCCAGCCTGTCACTAAGGCCCTTGGTGTCCCCACCAACTATGACTTTAAGGCCTAGAGAGTTTGATTAAGCTTCTTGTTCATTTCCTGGCTGCTGGAAAACAGATCTCAGAGAAAAGCATCATGTCCTAGGCCATAACCTCTGCCCTACCACCCTACTCCAATCTGCCTGTAAACAGTCAAACACTGTCTGCACTTAAAATGGCATTAAAAACAGCGAGGCAAGAACACTTCAAAGCAATGTTTTGTGTCTAAGGGGTTCTTTTCTGAAAGGAGTGGCAACAACTAGGTCACCATGGACTGGAATGTAAAGGGAGCTCCCTAGCCTTGTGCATTACAGGGAAGCAAGCTCAAGAGAAGATAGAGACTAGGGTAGAGGGACAAATAAAGCACAGATTCCTCAACACCAGGGGTGTGGAGAGCAACCAGAGCAGGGGTTCACAGAGTCCAAAGAAGACTGAGGCCAAACCTTGGGGGCCTTGTACTCACACCGTCCTCCATCTCCTAAATCACTCCAGAGTGGAGCCAAGCCACCACTCTGTTCCTGATGTCTGTAACTCCGATGCAAGGTGGGGGGCTACTACCTATTCCAAAGTCCTCTCAATTGGCAAATGAAGCCAACAGGCGTGAACCAACTTTCCCCAGGACCCACAGGTTTCTTGAACTCCTGGGCTACAAAACCGATACCTGGGAGAACAAGGTAGGGAGGAAGATAGACCCCAGCTCTCCTCTCCACAAAAATCTCTCAGGCTTAAGTTCAATAGCAAGAACCTCTTCCCCAGACTTGAAGACCCTCCACCTCTATCCAGCATCCCGTCCCCGCCCGCACCCCGCTCTCCCCGTGGTGACAATGACTTAGAAAGAGGGGACAAGCTGGGTTCCACAAGATGGAAGCCCACTTCCCATCTTGTCAAAAGCCAATCCCAAACTACTCTCCGGTGGATAAGTCTGAGTCCAGTTCCAAGACAAGAGTCCAGAAAGGGGGGGGGGGGGGGGGGGCTGCCAAACGGCAAACAATCCCCAAGTGCTTTGTTTCTACCAAGAGAAAACAGGCCTTTTTTTTTTTCTTTGAGTCACCCAAAAAGCATGAATCACACAGAGCCATGAGAATGAGAAAGGATGTTATTTTTCGGCATACTTGAGGATTTTCCCTTTGTCCCGACTCTATCAATACTCTTCCCGCCCCCAGCCCCCAGCCCCAGCCCCCAGCACACACGCATTTTTCCTGCTCCATTTTTTTTTTTTTTTTTAATTTTTCCCGGTGGCGCTCCAGGGCCCGCCCCGCAGGCCCCGGGGGTCTCCGGGCTCCGCGGCCCCCGCGCGCCCGCCCTCTCCCCCCCCGCCCCACACCCCACTCCCCGCGCCGCTCACCTGCGTCAGGTCCTCGTCGTTGAGCAGATGCGACTCGCGCGGCTTGAAGCAGTTCTGACACTTGCTCTTGTTAAAGATGTTGGCCTGGAATTTCCTGCACGGATTCTCCTTGGCCGCCGACATGGTTGGCGCGGCGGCGGCCGCGACGCTGGCGGCGGTGGTACGGCCCGGCCCGGCGCGCTCCAGGAGCCTAGGGGCTCAGCGCGGCCGCCGCCGCATCTCCAGACGGCCGCCTCAGGCCCGGCCCGGCCCGGCCCGGCCTCTCCGCGGGTTCGCCGGGCGCCGCCTGCTCGCCGCGGCCTCACAGCGCGCGCGCCACCCCTCGCTCGCCCGCACCGCCACCGCCGCCGCCGCCCCCCTGCCGCCACGGGCCCATGGAAGCGGCCTCGGCCCGATGCCTCCGCCGCGGCCGCCTCCTAGGCGCCGGTGGCCGCCAGCCCGCTGGTCGTGCAACCGTCGCCGCTGCTTCCCTGGGCGCCCGCGGCCGCTGCAAATGGGAGCGGGGCGCCGCGCGCACACGGGGCGGGGCGGCGCGGGGCGGGGTGGGGCGGGTCACACGTGTGACCGGCAGCGCCATTAGCCAATGGAAGCTGCTATATACCGCTAACAAAGAAACCTCTGGACCAATGGACGCCGGGGGCGGGGCCAAGAGCAACCGAGCGCAAGGTAACTTGTGCTGGCGGGGGAAGGTGGGGGCGTCGGAATGGGACGTTCAGGTTTGGTGGACTGGCGCCGAGGCCCAGGGCCCTGACAGCTGCAGGACCGGCAGGGAACTGCTGAGGAGGAGGAGCAGAGCGGACCTTTAGCGGGGGACTCTCCGCAAGCCCCTTGCTTCCAGTGTGGCCTTCTCTCCGGTGCCCAGCCTTCGCACCCGGATGGAACACATTCATTTAGTACCTACTGTGTGTCAGACCTGATCGTCGTAGTCCACGGTTTATTGCTAACTAGCTAGGTGCCTTTCCAAGTGCTCCGTACACTTATTAAACATTCCACAACCTTTCCACGATCATCCCCACTGTATGTATGAGGAAAGTGAGGCACAGAGAAGTTGGGTAATAGAGGTAGTTTGTCCAGGGATGACTAAGAGAAGATGTCAGCAGCCTTGAAGAGCTGTCAGTTCTATTATGGGACATTAGTGAATGCTGACTCTCTGCCAGGTCCTGAGCTAGGCATTCTTACCTTCATTATGTGCTTGAGCAAATTAAGGCTCAGACACATGAAGTAATTTGTGCAAGGTCACTCTGCCAGTAAGGGACCCAGCTGTCACTCCAGACCTCCAATGCCAGGCTTCTGGTCAAGAGACAACACTGGAATTAGAATGGCTTCCGAGAAACTAAATGGTGAATTTAAGCAGGTAATAGGAGGTTCGTGGTGGTGGCTAGAGGTGGGGAAAGGAGCAGGAAAGAAGAGGGTAAAGGGACTTGGTAAGGGCTAGATCACCTAGGGCCTTGAGTTCCAAGCTCAACCTGCTGGCAGTTGTGATTCTATTGAGTTCTAAAACAGAGGGTGAGCTAACTCAGCTTTCACAGCAGAGGTGACATTGGAGCCTGTGGTGGCAGCAGCTGTTGCTTAGGGGATGGGAAGGGAAGGCTTTAGGAGCTAAGTAGGGATGCTTCCAGAGTGGTGTACTTTTCCACTGATCATCTGGGAAGTGGATTTTTACTTCTTAAAAATGCTTCTCCTGTAAAGGGAATGGGAGAAAATCAAAGTCCACCTGCAGCCTGAAGGAGGAAAGCCCAGCCCTGCCCCTCAATTCCCTGGTCTTGGACGTCTTTTACCTTGACTAGTGTCTTCAGTGACCACTTGTACAAAACCCACATGATTGCATAAAATCCACATGATTTGATGCAGTTGCAAGCCTTAAGGAATGTAGTGCTTGTAAAATTTTTCACAAAATGTGACAAAACATTACTTGGTGAATCTGGGGGGAAAGGTGTTAATTGAACTATTCTTGAAACTTTTTTATTTTTTTCTTTTCCTTATTACAAAATAAAACAAGGGGATGGTAAAGGACGCTGCCAATTCTTGCCTGCACAGAATGTCTGAAAATGATACAAATGGTGGCCCCCTGGAGAAGGGAACTGGGTGGTTGGGAAGTGACCTACTTTTAAATTTTCATTCTAAGCCCTTTTGTTCCATTTAGATTTGGTATGATGTGCATGAACAACTTGTTTTAAAATAAAAATGTCTTGGGGCCAAAGCAAAGGCCAGCTCACTAAGAAAATGCTTATATGTTCTGCTCTCATCAGTACATCCTGACACAGACAGGAGGGGCTGGGAACATAGCTGGAGGTATAAAAAAGAATATGATTGGGGGATCTAGAAGCTGCCTGCCTAACACAAGTCCATACTCAAGTGGCTGGGGCCACATTAAATCAGGAAATAAACAGATACCTTCCATTTGAGAAGCTTTGGAACCCAGGCTTGGAGATCCCTTTTTCTCATATGTGGCCTCATGGGAAACTCCCAGAAAAGGCACTGACTGGACCCAGAGGGCAGCTAACTAAGACCTAGCCAGAAGAAAGTGGTGGGAAAGTCATCAGGGAAGAGGCTCAATGCCTTGAGACCAATATGTGTTACTGAACAGGGCTAGCTAGGTACCATTCCAAGTGCTCCATATGCTAGTGTGAGTCTGATTATCAACAGAACAACACAGGATGGAGGATGAATGAATGGTGCAAGTACAGCCTCTTTGGAGAGACAGGTGTGCTAGAAAGTGTGCTGATCTTTGACAGAAGATGATCATGAATCTCAGGACAGATGAAGAACTTCCTTTTGACATAATTATAGACCCATGGTAAGTGAAGATTCAAGGCTGCCACTAGAGCTGCCTGGGCGACATATACTCACCTGTGCTGTGTCTCCCTTTTATTTTGTTTTGTTTTCAATACTGAAGATAGAACCCCAGACGAACACATGTTAAATAAGTGAGTCATACCCAGCCTAACTTTGGATTCTCTTGACCAAGTACTTAGGTTAGGGCTGGTGATCAGGAGAATGAATGAGAGGCAGAAGTCTAGAAACAGGATCCATCAGGAAAGCAGAGCATAGAGAAGGTGGATCCAAAGTAGAATAGGTCAGCAAGGGCTGTAGGAATTAATTTAGGCAATGTTGAGGAAACAGAATAAGTGCTCAAACTTCATTAGTATGAGCATCCTGAGGACAAGTTTGGGTCTTGGTTACTTCTGCATTATCCCTGCCCAGTTCAGTGCTGAGCCTAGAGTAGGTATCCGATAAATACCCAGCAATCAATGAATGGATAAAACTATGAATTCACCAGATGCTGGTGGCTCATGCCTATAATACTAGCTACTCAAGAGGCTAAGATCTGAGGATCCCAGTTCAAAGGCAGCCCAGACAGGAAAGTCCATAAGACTCTTAACTCCAATTAACTGCCAGAAATCCAGAAGTAGAGCTGTGGCTCAAACTAGTAAAACACTAGCCTTAGCTTAAAAAGCTCTGGGACAGGGCTGGGAAGGTGGCTCAGTGGTAGAATGCTTGCCTTGCATGCATGAGGCCCTGGGTTCGATTCCTCAGCACCACATATACAGAAAAAGCCGCAAGTGGCGCTATGGCTCAAGTGGTAGAGCACTAGACTTGAGCTGAAGAGCTGAGGGACAGCTCCCAGGCCCAGAGTTCAGGCCTCACAACCAGCAAAAAAAAGAAAGAAAGAAAGAAAAAAAGCTCAGGGACAGTGCCAGGCTCTGAGTTCAAGCCCCACAACCAACAAAAAAAGAAATATATATATATAATATATAAGATAATATATTTTAATAGTTTATATATATTATTCTAAGCCAGGTACCAATGACTCATGCCTACAATCCTAGTTACTCAGGAGACTGAGATCTGAGAATTGCAGTTGGAAGCTTGTCTAGGTAGAGCAGTCCATGAGACTCCATCTCCAATTAATCAACAAGGCATAGGTCAAGTGGTAGAGCACCATCCATAAGCAAGAAAGCTGAGCAGGAGTTCAAGACCCTGAGTTCAAGCCCTGGTATCAAAATAATGATGTTAATAGCAATAATATTAACCATGATTCCATTTTGTAGAGTATAAAAATCCACATGGACAGGCCTTGGTCTTGGGTTGTAGCCTTGAGTTCTCTAAGAGTCTAGAAAAGTACTTTGTACCAGGTTCAATACTCATTGTGCTGTTATTTACTTATGTATTTATTCATTTATTTTACCATACCAGGGATCAAGTTCAGGCCTTTGCATATGCCAGGCTAATATTTGACCACTACTGATAGAGAGAGAGAAAGAGAGAGTATGTGTGTGTGTTAGGTTGTACAGTAAAGATTAGTTTAGTGTATTGTGTATAACTCAATGTATAATGTACATCGCCAATAAGCAAATAATCAAGCAAGAAAAGCCATCTCAGGCAGGTATCAAATACAGCTGAGTCTCCCTCTATGTTTCTGGTTACCACTGTGGGAAGACTTCCCTGCATCTGGAAGGGAGCTGATTTAGCATACATGCATGCACATGCATGCACATGCACACATAACTACACACAGGTAGCCACTATTTTGATCTCCATTATCATAGATTAGTTTTGTCTGATCTTGAACCTCTCAAAAGTAGAATCTTCTCTGTGTCCAGAATTTCTCATATCCTAGCATATCTGAAAAACTCATACACCCACCAGATATTGTGCTATCAACACATCTGCCCCTAGTTCATTGTCTAGACGCACCATGAGATCATTATTTACCTGTCCAAGTTCTGGATGGCCATTGGGGACATCGCTAGTTTGGGGCCGCTTGAATAAAGCTGTCATGAACATTTTTGTGCATGTCTTTTGGTGGATATCAGTGCTTATTTCCAGTGAGGGGATGGGAGGGCTGGATTGTTTAGTAAATTTCTCCCTGAGAAACTGCCACACAGCTTTCCAACCCTGAAGAGAGTCTTGCCAGGAGTTTCTTATCTCTAGGCAAGCTTTGGAAATGAATTTAGTGATTGAAATCACGGTTCTCAAATCATGTGTTTTCTTTTTCTTTAAATAATCCCTACTCTGGATCCATATATGTAATATATATGTAAATGTATTATATATATAATGTGTGTGTGTGTGTGTGTGTGTGTGTGTGTGTGTGTGTGTGTGTGTGTGTGTATGCTGGTACACAAGATTAAACTCAGGGCTTGGCAGTGTTAGCACTTTCATTCAAGGCTGGCACTTTACCACTTGAGCCA